GGGGGGGGATATAAACCATAATGCCAGACATGCAGCAGTTCAGATAGTAGTTCAGTTTTTGCACAGTTTCAGCTTAAACTTCGGTTCAGTTCCAAATCAGTTTCTGATAGTTCATACTTTAGTATGATTTATATATGCTTTCCACAGTACATACTTTGTACATATCGTACTCATGTCCCTTCCAGGGTGCTGCATTTCATGTCGCGTAGGTATAGATAGATCAGCGCTTGAGCCATCTCAGTAGTCTATCCATTAGATGTTGGAGTCGCTCCGCTTACTCCTGGAGTTATTTATCTTTTGGTATGTGTAAAGTTAGCTAGTTTGGGTAAGGCGGGGCCCTGTCCCATGTCGAAGTTTTTTAGTTCAGCACTCCTAGAGGCCTGTAGATATGTACCTGTGCAGTTAGAATATTTTTATATGTTAGCTTGTGTTAGCCTTTTCGGCTTTCCAGATTGTACAGTTCTTATCAGCTATGCTTATGCTTGTTCGGTTTATCAGTTCATATTCATGATTAGTAGATTATCTGCAAGTTTAGTGATGATCGGAACTTAGTGTCGGTTATCCGTCGAGGCCCTAGGATGGTTCGTGACAAACATGGTATTAGAGTAGTTTAGTCCTAGGGTGTCTAGAGGCCTTGTCTAGTATAGTCTTGTTCAGGACTATGTTGCACCATACTTATGAACATAAGGCTATAAGGAATTATAGGATGGTTGTCCTTCCTTCTTATCTAGATCATGTGATAGAGCTATGTTATAAAAATCCAGCCTTCTAATGAAACGTTTTATATGTAGCGATGCCGCCGAAGGGACTCACAATTGCACATAAGGGAAAAGTCATTGCTGGCCAGGTACCTAGCAGAGTACCCCCTGAGTTAGATGAGCATGAGGAGTCCAGACATGATGTTCTAGCTACCGCACCTTCGGCTCCTCAGCACGACGACATGAGGGAGGCTGTCAGATTATTGACTTGCATTGCAGCTACTCAGGCAAGACGACAGTATATAGGTCCTCGGGGTGACGATACAGGTTCTAGGATTCGTGATTTCCTCATATTAGAGCCTCCAGCTTTGACGGGATCTAGTACAATGGAGGATCCCCAGGATTTGCTAGACAGAGTAGCTAAAGCCCTCAAAGATATGCATGCCACATATATAGAGTTAGTTGAATTGACAGCATATATATTATAGGATCTAGCAGTAGGTTGGTATACCACTTGGGAGATGTCTAGGGGAAAAAATGTTGTTCTAGCTACATGGCGGGAGTTCTTAGAGGCATTCCTCCACCATTACCTACCCGTAGAGACATGTAGGGCATGATTGGACCTGATCTGTATGTTGAGATAGGGGTTATGAGTGTTTTAGAATATAACCTCCGCTTTAATTCTTTGGCGAGGTTTGCTCCTACAGTTGTATTAGACATGGAGGATAGGGTGCACAGGTAGTTAGCGGGACTTGGTCCTCACTTAGTAAATGAGTGTATGACTGTATCTATGTACTCGGATGTGGACATTGCACGTACTCAGGAATTCGCATTAGCATTTGAGGAAAGGAAACAAAAGTAGGGGGCTGACAGAGATAGAAGCTCAAGCAAGAGAGGCAGATTTTCAGGTTTGTTTGGTGGGACATCTAGTGCTAGTAGACAGCAGAGTGTTAGGCAGCCATCAGCTAGTACTCATTCACATCTTCAAGGGCTGAGATCTAATCGACCCCCACAACCTAGAGCTAGTCAGCATCACGGGCTTTAGGATCCTAGCACCGAGGACGCCATTTGGGCGATGCCAGCTGGGTGTAGATGCATGTTATGTTTGTGGCGAGTTAGGCCATTTTATGAGAGATTGCACGTCTAGGGGTGGTAGTGGTGCAGCTCAGCCATCAAGATCAATTGCAATTTCTTCAGCACCAACACGCCCGCAAGGGAAAGTTCCTCAGACACCAGCGGTCCATGGTGGAGGCCGAGATAGAGCTCCTACTACAGACGGTCCCCAGAACTGCAGATGCGCTCTGGTTGGTCGTCAGGGCCGGGAGGCTTCATCAGACGTGGTTACATGTACTTTGTTAGTGAATTCTCATAATGATTTTGTGTTGATAGATCCTGGTTCTACAATATCATATGTTACTCCCTTTGTTGCTACTAAGTTTGGGATAAAACCAATAGCCATTAAACCTTTAGAGGTAGCCACCCCAGTTGGTGATTCAGTAGTAGCTAGGCGTGTTTTTAGAGGTTGCACTGTTGTGATTGGTGACCGTAGTACTACAGCTGACTTGATTAAGTTAGAAATGGTTGACTTGGATGTTCCACTTGGTATCGATTGGTTTTCTTCTTGCTATGCTAATGTTGACTGTAGAGTGAAGACGGTCCAGTTCAATTTTTAGAAGGGTCAGCTATAGAATGGAAAGGTGTTTCTGCATCTCCAAAATGTAGATTTATTTCATACTTTAAGGTGATAAAGATGATTGCCAAGGGATACTTATATCATATTGTTCATGTTCAAGACATAGAGAAGGGAACACCAACTCTTGAATCAATTCAGTAGTGAATGAGTTCCCTGACGTATTTCCAGATGAGCTTCCAAGTCTTACTCCAGAGCGCGAAATTGAATTTCCCATCAATATAGTGCAGGGTACACGACCAATATCTATTCCTCCTTATAGGATGGCACCAGTAGAATTAAAGGAACTTAAGGAGCAGTTGAAAGATCTGTTAGATAAGTGTTTCATTAGACCTAACACTTCACCTTTGGGAGCACCAGTCTTATACGTGAAAAAGAAAGATGGTTTCCTACGTATGTGCATAGATTACAGACAGCTGAACAAGGTCACGATCAAGAACAAATATCCCCTTTCCATAATTGATGACTTATTTGACCAGTTTCAGGGTGCCAAGTGCTTCTCGAAGACATACTTGAGATACGGCTACCATTAGGTTAGAGTCAGAGAGTGTGACATACCTAAGACACCATTCAGAACCAAGTATGGCCATTACGAGTTTTTAGTGATGTCATTTGGGCTGACTTGTCACGACCCAATTTCTCCCTTCTGTGAACCGTCGTGACGGCACCTAGTCTCTACGACTAGGTAAGCCTAACACTTTTGCGGAAGTGAAAATAAAGCATGAACATTAACTACTAACAGTAACAAATATCTAATAAGCAACTAAATGCCACTCGGCATATACAATTATCACCTCTAAAAATGTACAAACAATTTCTCAAAACCCGGAATACCTTAAGTCACAAGCTACTAAGAAGTCTTAACCGTTCTATACATCATTTCTACAGAGAGAAGGAAAAATGAACATAGGGAGATAGAGAGGGACTCCGGGGATCTGCGGGCGCGAGCAGATGTACCTTGAAGTCTCCAATAAGCAGCAGTGACTGCAACTAGTGATGAGGCTGGTAAGATGAACCTGGATCTGCACACGAAAAACATGTGCAGGATAGGGCGTGAGTACACCACAACGGTACCCAGTAAGTACCAAGCCTAACCTCGGTCGAGTAGGGACGAGATTAGGTCAGGGCCCTACTGGTATAAATATAATGAAATAAGACATAATGAAATATTGCAGTAAAATAAATACAGAAATCTAACAGGAATAGAAGTAATGAAAGATAATAGCTCAGAACATAGTGATAACAACAGGGGATCTCCCGAGATATCGTCTCGTAGTCCCAAACATAAATGTGTAGGGGGATCTCCCAAAATACCGTTCCGTAGTCCCAAAATAAATATGAAAAATAGGGGGATCTCCCGGAATACCGTTCCGTAGTCCTAAAGTAAATATGCAGTACAGGGGGATCTCCTAGAATACCGTTCCATAGTCCCAAAGTAAATATGCAGCACAACCAACCGAAATAACAATTACAACTAGAAATCCTACATTTTAGACTAAGTTCAAGTCAAGGAAAGTAGGTAATTTCACTACACATGCTGCACAGAGTCCAAATAGGTAGTTAAACAAGTAGGCATGCTATTCTAGTCTAAACAGGATAGTTACATATGCTAGTGTGTTTCAAATAAGGAGAAAACAAGTTATGACTTAGTGAAAAAATGGAGTTTAACAATAGATAGCTCGTGTACGTACTCGTCACTTCACGTACACGATGCTCATATATCAAACAGTACCAAATCCTAAGGGGAGTTTCCCCCACACAAGGTTAGGCAAGCCACTTACCTCGAACCAAGCTCAAAATCAATCTCTCACATTGCTCTTTCCACGAATATCCGACTCTGAATGGTTCAAATCTAGCCAAAACCAATTACATAACATAAATATAGCTATAAGAAACTAATCTAGCTAACGAAATCAAAGCTAAGGCAAGAAATTAGAAAAACGCCCAAAATGCCTCCCCGGGCCCACGTCTCGGAATCTGGTAAACGTTACCAATTAGGAACACCCATTCGCTCACGAGGTCACTCGTACCAAAATTATCCAAATCCGATGTCTAAATCCCACTCAAAACGCATAAATTTGGTTGGGGAATTTTTCCCCTATTCTCCCAACTTTCCCACTCAAATTCCTTAATAAAATGGAGAAAACGACTATAGATTAATGAAATACAACCAAAAACATGTTAGGAATCTTTATCCCAAAGCTTTCTTTGAAAATCCCTCAAGAAATTGCCTATTCCCAAGCTCAAAAATCAAATTTGAGAATATGAACCTCAACCCTCGATTCTGCCCCTTTTTTCCCAGTGATCTTTGCACTTACGGACCATGGGTCGCACCTGCGACGCTGCATCTGTGAAAAATATCTCAAAGGTGCGGATATCGCTTAAGAGGGCTGGGTTCGCATCTGCGGCAGTGGGGGCCGCACCTGCGCGTGCGCACCTACGGAACATTGTCCCCTTCTGCGGTCTTCCTCCGCGCCTGCGAATCCTTGGGCGCATCTGCGGGCAAAGCAGATGCAGAAATTCCTCGCACCTACGACCGCTGGTCAAGCCTCCGAAATCCGCATCTACGCCTATTCCTCCGCATATGCGAGCCCGCACCTACGGTCTCCCCTCTACACGTACGAAACACCAGAACCAGCAAAAACTCAGCAACTTCCCTAAGTCCAAAATTTATCCGTTAAGCATCCGAAACACACCCGAGACCCCCGGGACCTTAACCAAACATACCAACCAATCCTAAAACACCATACGAACTTAGTCGAGCCCTCAAATCTCATCTAACAACGCTAAAATCACGAATAACCCTCCAATTCTAACTTAGGGAAACTTGACACATCCAAATTCAACAACAGATGCCGAAACCAACCAAATCACGTCCTATTGACCTCAAGTTTTGCACACAAGTCATATTCAACATTACAGACCTACTCCAACTTCCGGAATTGGAATCCAACCCCAATATGAAAAATTCTACTACCGGCCCAAAACTCAAAAAATTCGATTTCTTTGCCATTTCAAGCCTAAATGGGCTACGGACCTCCAAAACATAATCCGGACACGCCCCTAAGCCCAAAATCACAAAACGAAGCTAACGGAATCGACGAAATTCCATTCCGGAGTCGTCTTCACATAGTTCCGACTACGGTGCCAATCCTAAGGCTTAAGCTTTCCATTTATGGACTAAGTATTCCAAAATACTCCAAAACCAAAACAAAACCTCCCAGCAAGTCACAATAGCAGAAAAAGATACGGAGGAAGCAGTTAAATAGGGGATCAGGGCTATAACTCTCAAGATGACCGGCTGGGTCGTCACATCCTCCCCCTCTTAAAATAATCGTTCATCCTCGAACGAGTATAGAGACATACCTAAAGCTGTGAAAAGATGAGGATAACGGCTGCGCATATCCTGCTCGGTCTCCCAAGTCACCTCCTCAACCGGCTGACCCCACCACTGAACCTTTACTGATGTAATGTTCTTTGACCTCAGCTTCCGAACCTGCCTGTCCATAATAGGCACTGGCTCCTCAACGTAGGATAGATCCATGTCCAACTGGACTGAGCTGAAATCCAGCACATGAGACGGATTGCCGTGATACCTCCGGAGCATCAAAACATGAAATACCGGATGAACTCCTGCTAGGCTGGGAGGTAAGGCAAGGTCATAAGCAACCTCCCCAACTCGCCGCAACACCTTAAAGGGGCCAATAAACCTTGGGCTCAGCTTGCTCCTCTTTCTGAACCTCATAACGCCCTTCATAGGCGAAACCCGAAGCAGGACCCACTCTCCAACCATGAATGCAACATCGCGAACCTTACGATCCGCATAGCTCTTTTGTCTGGACTAGGCTGTGTGATGTCTGTCCTCAATCACCTTTACCTTTTCCAAGGCATCCTGAACCAAGTCCGTACCCAATAATCTGGCCTCGCCCGGCTCAAACCAACCCACTGGGGACCGACACCGCCTACCATACAGAGCCTCACACGGTGCTATATGAATGCTGGATTGATAACTATTGTTGTAGGCAAACTCCGCAAGTAGCAAGAACTGATCCCAAGAACCTCCAAACTCCATCACACACGCACAGAGCATATCCTCAAGAATCTGAATAGTGCGCTCGGATTGTCTGTCTATTTGAGGGTGAAAAGTTGTGCTCAACTCCACCCGAGTACCTAACTCCTGCTGTATGGCTCTCCAGAACTACGATGTAAACTGCATGCCCCGATCAGAGATGATAGATACCGGCATGCCATGAAGTCTGATAATCTCTCGGATATAAATTTGAGCCAGCTGCTCGGAAGAATAGGTAGTCATCACAAGAATGAAATGAGCTGACTTGGTCATCTTGTCCAGAATAACTTAAACTGCACAAACTTTCGCTGAGTCCGTGGGAGTCAAACAACGAAGTCCATAGTGATCCTCTCCCATTTCCACTCCGGAATCTCTATCTTCTGAAGCAACCCACCCGGTCGCTGATGCTCCCACTTCACCTGCTGGCAATTTATACATCTAGCCACATACTCTACCATGTCCTTCTTTATCCTCCTCTACCAATAATGCTACCTCAGGTCCCGATACATCTTCGCGGCACCCAGATGAATGGAGTACCACGAGTTTGTGAGCCTCCTGGAGAATCAACTCACGCAAACCGTCCACATTAGGCACACATAACCTGCCCTGCATCCTCAATGCACCATCTTCCCCAATAGTGACCTCCTTAGCGTCACCGTGGTGGACCATGTCCTTGAGGACAAGCAGATGGGGGTCATCATACTGACGCTCCCTGATACGATCATAAAGGGAAGATCGAGAGACCACACAAGCCAATACTCGACTCGGCTTAAAAATATCCAATCTCACAAACTGGCTGGCTAAGACCTGAACATCCAACGCCATGGGCCTCTCTGTTGCTGGTGGATAAGCTAAACTCCCCAAACTCTCTGCCCGACGACTCAAAGCATCGGCCACCACATTGGCCTTCCCCGGGTGGTACAAAATGGTGATGTTATAATCCTTAAGCAGCTCCAACCACCTCTCTGACGCAAATTAAGATCCTTCTGCTCGAATAGATGCTGCAAACTCCGGTGATCAGTGTAGATCTCACAAGGAACGCTATATAAATAGTGCCTCCAAATCTTCAAGGCATGAACAATAGCGCTAGCTCAAGGTCATGGACAAGATAGTTTTTTTCATGCACCTTCAGCTGTCTGGACGCGTAGGCAATCACCCTACGGTCCTGCATGAACATCGCGCCGAGGCCAACTCACGACGCATCATAATAAACTGTATAAGACCCCAAACCTGAAGGCAATACCAATACTGGGGTTGTAGTCAAAGCTGTCTTGAGCTTCTGAAAGCTCTCCTCACACTCCTCTGTCCACCTGAACGGAGCACCCTTCTGGGTCAGCCTGGTCATAGGTGCTGCAATAGAAGAAATACCTCAACAAACCAACGGTAATACCCCATCAACCCAAGAAAACTCTGAATCTCTGTAG